GGAGCCGACGACACTTCAGCCGCTGCCACCACAGCAGCTGCGCCAGCTCTCATCCGCCGTCCACCGTCCCCTCAACCCTGCCGGCCCCGCCCCATTTCGCCTTCACCGCAGCTTATTGGCTACCTGTTCTATCGTGATGATCTGTGATTGGTCAAATTTGACGTCCTTCTACAACTCTCGTCCACTGCTAATGCAGGATTCTCTGCCCGCCTTCTTAAGAGGGGGCGGGACGAATAAACCCCGCCCTTTACTCCTCCCACCTCCCCGCCTTAATTGCTCGGCCCAACCCAGAGGGATACCCGAGTCTTTCAATTGGTGGAGAATCAGAAATACAGTGCTTCTGATTGGTCAGTTCTCAGAAGGTGGGTCTAACTGAGAGGGGCAAGAAATTGAATAGTCAAGAGGAAAGTCAGTCAAGGTCCCAGGCCTGCCTTCTGAGATTGGCGGGTAACCTAGCAACGCAGGGACAGCGAAGGTAACCGTGAGTAGAGAAACCTAGGACCTATCTCAGAGCAGGTGAGTAACTAATTAGGGGAAGGCTGGAGAAAAGGGGAGCTGGGGAGCTTGCGCGGACCCAGGGCATCCTCTTCGGTGTCCCTGCCTGTTTTTTCCCCATCACCCGCTCACTTCATGGCCCCACTTCATCCCTAAAATGGGGATGATACCAGGCACGGAGAGTCGTATCCGTTAACTTCCTTGAAGCCAAACGTTAGTGCGGAGGATGAGAGGGTAGTTTTATTAATCCCCTTCTTTTCCACCCGGCGGTGGCCACACATTCTGGGGTGAGTCTGCAGTGGAAGGCAGCTCACTTGAGCGAAAGTTTAAATAAGATAATTTTGGTTTTATGATTTTGCCTTTCAAACTAACTTTAGGATTTATGGGGCCTGGGACCAGCAGTTGGTATAGTGTCTGGACTCCCATGTAGTCAACAGCGGTTCCAGACCCGGTGCCTTAAATTCACGCCGGGCGCGTGTGCGTGCGTGCTCAAGATCCCGAGGGGAGAATGGAGGAGAAGGGATTGTGGCATGGCCATCCCCGGGG